CTGAGCTATAGCTGCTGAGCCTACAGAGTCCACATTCTTAACCACTATGTTTTTCTGGACTATTCCTCTTAGCTCAGGTAATGCTTACACCAGTGCTTTTGTATCTGTCACCTGAAACATTCACTCCAGCACTGATTCTAACACTCATCTCATTCCATTCACTGAGGCTCTTCCTCAGGGACACCTTCCCCTCTTATGCCCTCTCTTGTATTTTTTCATAGCATCATTTGGCTTTTATTTCAAAGTATTTCAACAGGTACACTTTTATATTTATTTATTTATTTGTGAGTGTTAAATTCTCTCTTCCTCCAGACACAGTGACTGTGTTTTTCCCTAGTTACTAGCACAGAGCCTTTTGCACATGGTAAACATTCAATAAAAAGTTGTTGAATAAAATGGATAGAAGATGACTAGATAGGTAAGAAATAGAATTTATTTGAGTATATGAAATGAGCAGCACATCTATCTTAATTTTCTTTTAAATGGTTAATTAGTTGTCATGGCACCATTTATTGGGAAAAAAATCTTTCGTTCACCAAAATATCAGCTTCATATTACTTAATTCTTATATATATTTGAGTTTATTTATTCTATTTCACTGATGTTTATTCCCTTAAACCACACTGTTTATCTTTATTAAATAGTTTACATATATCACATATATAACAATTTCAATATAGTTATTTTGGACATATTTAAAGAGACTTAGCTCTCATCCCTGCCCCCTCTCTTCTCCTCTGTTGTGATATTTTCCCTATAGGTAAACATTCTTACTAGTTTTTTATTTGTCCTTTTTTGGTCTTTGAAAATATTACCAAATTTTATATTCGTACACACACGTATACATACATACACAAGGTTGGACATTTAAGTTTGAGAACTCATCCTAGTAAAAGTGCTACATGCCTCATTGCTGAATATCACAATGGTCACATTCAAAGTACTCTCCTGGGCTGCATAATGATATTCAGCCCTGAGCTGTGTAGCACTTTTTTAAGGATGAGTTTGCAGACTTAATTGTCAGACCTCATACAATGACAGCTCTGCTAGTCATTCCAGAAAAAGTGTTCTAAAAGTACTTTGGAGGGTGGGGACTAGGCATTGGTATTGTGACATAGCTTCCCAAGGGGAGTACCTTGAAGGTGACTATAGTGATATTCGGCAGTGAGATATGTAGCACTTTGTTTGGAATGAGTTCTCAAACTGAATTGTACAATATATATATTTGTATTCTCCCATTTTTGATACACTAGAAATAGTGAACTATGTGTGCTTATTTACACCTTGCATTTTTTTAAGTTAGCGTGTCATGGTGATCACTTCATAGCAACATATAAAGATCTTTCTCATTTTTAAAAAAGTGTATAGTACTCCATTGCATGTATGTGCTATATATTCAGTCATTTCTCTATGGCAGGATATTGAAGACAGTACCTGTCTTTGCTACCTCAGTCATCATTGCAGCCTTGTGTGTGTATCATTTCTTATATTTGCCTTTATGTCTTTGGGTGATCATAGGAAATTTTAGATCAGGGACATATCATAAAAGCATTCATAGGAAGATTAAAAACTGACAGTACAATGTACATTTGAATGTGAATAGGATTGAAAGCCTGGAAACTTAGAAGTCATAACAGTACTCTAAACTAAATTGATAGCTGTATAGATATTTATTACAACAGTAGGTGTCATATATAAAGTTGTTTCCCTCCTTCCTGATCTATTGTATTTATTGCCCGTTCATCCACTGATAGATTACTTCATCTGCGTCTCTTCTTCTTTGCTCTGTCTGGTCATCTTTCCCCTCTTCTGACTTTCCTAGACAGAGTGTACTCATTTTCTCTATATATTCAGAACATTTATTTCCCTCCATCTTTGCAAGTCACCATCAAGAGTCAAATCAACTTGCTCCTTGAAGGCATGCTTTTCACTTTCATTAACTCTTACCTGTTTCAGAATGGCCTTTTTGTTATGCACAGAAAAAAAAACAAAAGGAATTTGCATTTCCAATGTCTTTCAGACGTGGAGGCTAGACCCAAGAGCAAGGATTCAACTTCAGTGCAAGATTTTTCCAAAGAGGAGTCATGCCAGGTTGCATTTATAGACAGACTGACGAAGAAGAGTGTCTATGACTCCAACTTGGAAACAGCAATTGAATGTGAAAATTGGTTAGAGAATCAGCAAGGAAATCAGGAAAGACATTTGAGGGAAATGCTTGCTCATGTGAATTCACTCCCTGAAGAAGGAGGTCATGAGCATGATGTGTACTGGAAGAACTTCAGTCAGAAGTCTGTCCTTGTGACTGACCACAGAGCTCCCAAAAGATCCTGTACCTTTCATACACTTGAAAAAAGATTGAAACAGAAATCAAACTTAATAAAAATGCAGAGGACTTATAAAGAGAAAAAGCCTCATAAATGTAATGATTGTGGTGAACTCTTCACCTACCATTCAGTGCTAATTCGACACCAGAGAGTCCACACTGGAGAGAAACCATATACCTGCGATGAATGTGGGAAATCTTTCAGCCACAGAGCTAATTTAACTAAACATCAGAGAACTCATACTAGAATTCTCTTTGAGTGCAGTGAATGCAAGAAAACCTTCACAGAAAGCTCATCTCTTGCAATACATCAGAGAATTCACATTGGAGAGAGACCTTATGAATGCAATGAGTGTGGGAAGGGTTTTAATCGAAGTACACATCTTGTGCAGCATCAGTTGATTCATACTGGAGTGAAGCCTTATGAATGTAATGAATGTGATAAAGCTTTCATTCATTCCTCAGCACTCATTAAACATCAAAGAACTCATACTGGAGAGAAACCCTATAAATGTCAAGAATGTGGAAAAGCCTTTAGCCATTGCTCATCCCTAACTAAGCATCAGAGAATTCATACTGGAGAAAAGCCATATGAATGTAGTGAATGTGGAAAAACTTTCAGTCAGAGTACACATCTTGTTCAGCATCAAAGAATTCATACTGGAGAGAAACCCTATAAATGTAATGAATGTGGGAAAACCTTTAGTCGGAGTTCAAATTTTGCTAAGCATCAAAGAATTCATATTGGAAAGAAGCCCTATAAATGTAATGAATGTGGAAAAGCCTTCATTCATTCATCAGCTCTCATTCAACATCAGAGAACTCATACTGGAGAGAAGCCCTTTAGATGTAGTGAGTGTGGGAAAAGCTTTAAGTGCAGTTCTTCCCTCATCAGACATCAAAGAATTCATGCTGAAGAGCAACCCTAAAAAAGGTTACTGAATGTTAGGAAATGTAAGTTGGTTTTATCAGTAAATACCTGAGTGTTTTGGTGGAAGATCCATATGATAGACTTGTGGGTCTGTTCTTTACATCTAATTTTATTCACATAATACATAGTTTTGAGCCATTGACTTCCTTATTCTATTAATTTGATAATTATCAAAACTTTCAGCCAGAGATTCCCAAATTTTAATTGCCAACTTCTCAAATGAGTATTCACAGAAATTCAAGAAATCCTTGTGTGTGTGTGTGTGTCAGTATAAACATTGTGAAATCTAATCTTCCCCTCCTGTGGTCATGTCAGAGCTTTGTTGTAGCCTCTCACTTGGTAAGGAAATTCTTATACGGTAGGTTAGTCTTAGGGTTTATGTAATAATCAGGAAGACACAACAGTGTTATGTGTTACTCTTTGAATCCCTCATAGAGATCTAAGTATTCAGATGGTGCTATTTCTCCAGGAATGTCCTTTTATATTAATTGTAAAAACTAAAAGATTGAGTTGAAAACTGTTTGGGATTCCCTTCCTCTGAAAGCTGCTGTCTAATGTGATGAACATAGCTATTTATATTTACAGAACATTCTAAGTTGACTTCACATGGATTATGTTGGTGATAGATGTATATAATTGTCATCCCTCTTTTGTGAAGAGCTTTCATTTTCCATTTCCCTGGGAGTAACCCCAAAGTAGAAAATGTGTCAAGATCCTGACTATTTTGTTAATCAAATTCCTGTTTCTTTTTATTCTTGACATTGAATGGATCGTTAGTTTTCTATAATTGCAGTGTCAGAGAGACTTCATTTCTCTACATTATTAAGCTTTCTGTAAGCTATGCTGTGTCACATGGAGAAAAAACCCAGGGATATAGAGAGCTGAAAGTTTGATGGGCTCAATATTTAGACAAGAAGAACTGAAGCAACTGTGAGACACCAGGCCATACTTTGTCCTATCAGGTGTATGGTCCTTACGTGACTCACTTGTGGATAAGCAGCTTCCCTTCATGAAGGAGTTGCCATCTCTCTCATCTCTTCATCTGAAGATATTTGCCCCCACGTTGGTGTTCTTGTTCTCTATATGTTGGTTGGTATTTATCCCAGAGCCCTAAATGAGATAGACATGAAACCACAGTGATGTAATAGTGTGAGTTACATGGATGACTACAGACCAGTAGTGGGATTAGAAACGTAAAAGCAAAGCTCAAATAAATGCTTAGTAAAACAGATGTCATTTTTTATCATCATTCTATTACATGGTCAAAAGAAAACTATAGAAAATGGTAGCAAAAACGTCATTAATCACAGATTTCTTCTCTCCTGAATTCCTGACCAGTCCAAACTTTGCCCTTTTCACATTATCCCTGTTACTTATAATTTCCTCTAATTAGACTTAGTTTAATGACTGAGGAAAATTAGAGGGATAGAGTTTACAAAAGAGTTATCAGAAACTACACTCATTAAAGGTGGATGCAGTATAAATCCAGCAATGGTAGAAATCAGAGGAAACAAGTAAAAGGAGTCCTTGTGAAGAGATTTTAGAATGAACAAGAAAGAACACATTGAAGGGGGTCCCATTCTGGGGGAAGGCTTAGGATTTACGAGGTTAGGGTAGGAGAATGACTCAACAAAACACAGGGGAAAGGGCTCAGGTCTGATGTTACTTTATTATTCAGTAGTAAGGGTTTACAGCAGAAATTGACTATGGCTTGAACTCGTGGACCAACTCTGGCCTACCACCCATGTATATGTAAATAAAAGGTTTTAGTGCTTAGCCACTCTCATCATTTATATGTTGTCTTTGGCTATTTTTGTGTGCCATGGTGGAACTGAGTAGCTGCAGCACACGTTGTGTTTCTGGGCTGTAACCATTAACTGAGTGGCTTCTAAATAGTAGAAATTTACTCACAGTTCTGGGAGCTGGGAAATCTGAGACCAAGACACCAGCAGATTCAGGAGCTGGTGAGGGCCTGCTTCTTGGCTACTAGAAGGCACCTTTTTGCTGTATCTTCACATGGTAGAAGGGGGGGGGGGGACTCTGGTCTCTTCAGCCCATTGTAAGGGCACTGATCACATATATGAGGGCTCCATCCTCATGACCTAATCACCTCCCAAAGTCCCCACCTAATGCCATCACATAGTTGGTTAGGCTTCAACACAGGAGTTGGGAAGGTTGGGGTGGCAGTTATCATCCACAGAAGATCATATATCCCAGAAAGCCTAAGTAGGTACTACTTGTCTCTGCAGAAAATGTTTGCCAGCCCCTGTGTTAGAGCATCCATGTCAAAAGGTGGGATAGAGGGATTAAACCAGTCAGAACAATAGGGTAGAATGGAAAAGTGGTGGTGGTGAATTTATCCTTCAGTAGAGACTAAAACCATAGTAGTTACCCTCATAGGCCAGACTGGGAAGCAGAGCAGGACAGATAAACACTCCCAGTGGTACTGATCAGTAACTCGATAGTCCTGTCACTCTATTTTTAAGGTTACCACAGTGTGTGTGTATATGTGTGTGTGAGAGAGAGAGAGAGAGAATTGGGGTTAGGAAATAAGAGATAGGATGATGTATCCATATACTCCTAACCCTAGGATGTTACCATATATCATTAAGATAACTGAAATTACTGAAACTTTTTCAGTATGCCAAGTGCTTGAGTAAAAACAAATTTGTTTGGAGGCCAAAATTTGACTAAGAAAATAAGACCAAATTGGGCTTTTCAAAGTTGAGTTTGAATTCTTCTACCCTCATATTAGCCAGTGATGTGGCATTAAAAAGCTGCTTACTCTTTCTGAATCTGTTTCCTTATCTGTACTGGGTTTCGACTATGGGAATAAATCATTCCTTTCTCATAGGATTGTCATGAGGATTAAATAAGATAACATGTATAAAAGACCTGGCACACAATAAGTCACTATATAGAAAGTCCCCCCCCCCCAAACACACTTACCTGCTGTGTGTGGCTAAGGATGAGTCAGTAGAAGTGACTTAAAAGAGTAAATGTAATCTATACCTTTTGTTGACCGATGAACTGTGGCCACCCTGCTCTCTGGCTTACAGAGACAGGGCTTCAATTCTTTCTGCTCTTGCTTCCATCTGGTGCTATTCCCCACAAAGCCTTCTTGAGACCTCCTGGAAAATGATTTTTTCCTTCTGAGTTTCACTTACCCAGGAGCTATCTGATGATTTTAGAGACTCATGTTTGCAATCTGATTGCAGTTTAAATAGTGTTAATGGATTTGCTCCAAGCTAGTTTTACAGGGAACTCTGGCTCTTGGCATTTTGGTGTTTGCCCTTTTAATGCCTGATGTTCAACCTGACTACATGTTATGTTATGCATTTCAAGTGTATTTTGTTATCTGTAAACTAAATTCAACTGCTCTTATTGGCTTGTTGTCAATAAATATATTGTTTATGTTTTGTCAGAGATGTTGTAAATTGCTTTCAAATTCTGATTTAAGCATGTTTTCAGATGTAATGAAGGATCAACCATAAAATATTTCCATATTACCAAGGAAATCAGTCACTTCTCTAGTTCATCTGGGTTTCACAACTTCTGGAAAGAGATGGTAGGAAATACCTTTAGCAGCCATGAGAAAGAAGTAGAGGAAAGTTGTTTCTACCAAAAAGTGTTGAGTTTTCAGACCACGTACAGGCACCATTCACTTAGTAGAGACAACAGGGGGAAGACAGAGGGAAGAACTTCGTATAAAACTTCATATAAAAGTCATGGTTATAACTAGGCAAAATAGGATCTAAAAACAAGAAGAAAATGGAGGAGGAAGACAAGGAGACAGAAAAAGAAGAAAAAACCTGATATAATGTTAACTTTGAATTACATCTGGTTTGGAGGAAGACAATGTAGCATCACATAAAAGTATAAAAATATACCAAACATCATCCAATACCAATACCAAACATCATCCAAATTCATTTTTAATTAACTAGTTCAGTTATGTTTTAAAAGTCTGTCATTGTTTTTATTTCTTAGACATGTTCTCACTTTTTTTGTCATTTCAGAGCAGAGTCTTACCAGTTTTGCCAATTTTAAGAGAGATAAACATGAGAGAGAGGATGTGGTATGTGGTATCTCTCCCTGCCTCCTACAGAGAAAGATCTCCCAGATTTTCTCATCATTGAATGAGATTATGAAGTCACAGCAAGGTCATGTCTATCTTGGCCTTCTCACTAGGATGCCAATTCTTTTTTCTTCTTCAAGCTTGAAACAAAGTTTATTGAAGAAGACAAATGTAAGTTTGCAGTGCAAGAGAAAGATCCAGGTTTACAGAACAAGATAAATACATTTACCGTACACTGGGAATGGCCCCCTCATTGTTCCAACAAGGAAAAGACCTAGGATGCCAATTCTTTTCTTTTTCTTTCTTTCTTTGGAGACAGAGTCTCACTCCAACACCCTAGGTTGAGTGCTGTGGCATCACAGCCCACAGCAACTTCAAACTCTTGGGTTCAAACAATCCTCCTGCCTCAGCTTCCTGAATAGCTATGACTCAGGCACCTACCATGATGCCCAGCTAGTTTTCTGTTTTTAGCAGAGACAGGGTCTCCTTCTTGCTCAAGCTGGTCTCCAACTCAGGAGCTCAAGCAATCCACCCACCTCAGCCTCTCAGAGTGCTAAGATTACAGCTGTGAGCCACTGTGCCCAACTAGGTTGCCAATTCTTGATGCTTGTTTGTGTGACCTGTTCATTGTGGGGTGGCATGGAAGGTTCTCCTCATCATAGTCATTCAGGGACCCAAGCTGATGAAACAGCCATCATCTCAAATATTTGCCATACTGGAAGAAAGGAGGGAGCTAACGGGTCTTACACAGACATACTTCACTTCTACTCACAATTTTATCCTCCAAAGCAAGTCACATGCCCCCGTCCAATCTTCCTGGTGAGGACCAGGAAATAGCATCTTTTTTGCAGCTGTGTGCAGGGGAGGAGACTCCCTCTCCTACTCTCCGCACACAAGAGGATTAGTAGAAGACAGCATCCTTGCCTTTTAAAAAATATCCACACCAGTCTTTATATACAAATATCTTTTCTGACCCTAATCCCCTTATCCTCACACCCCATTTGTTAACATCTGCCAACACGCTGCTCACTTCTCCACAAAGTCATTACGATTTTTGGCATTCCTCCTAATATCCTTTGGACTGATGTCAGAGGCCAGGTATACGAGATCCCTGGCATCCTGGCCTAACAATTTGAACCCCTTGCTTTTAATGATCAACAGTGTTTATTTACATCAGCAGCTTGCTTCCTTGTCTACACTCCACCCAGAACTGTTCAGCAAGTGTTTCTGAGCTACTACTGTGTGTCAAGCACTATATGTTAGGTGCCAGTGATAAAACAATGATTATTAAGATAGAGTCCCTGCTTTTAGCAAAGAGAGAGTAAACAGGTAATTACAATCTGGTATTAGAAGTGATGTTCTACAGGAATGCATTAGAGGAGTGGTTTTTGACCAGTGTGCCATGAGAGGATCTTAGGAGTGCCATGAAAAATTTTAAAAAACATTAATTATTTTCAAAAGAAGTTCAAAGCACAGTATGTTCTTTTTAAACTCTGTTTTCTGATCAACATCATTTAAGTCTGCCAGGGAAGTTTAATA